TAGAGCAATTTCAACATTTTAGGGTATCATCTTGTAGAGCTCAATGAGCTGAGTTCAATGGTATTTTTTTCTCCTCGATTACTTTAATTTGAAGCTGTTTATGAAAAAAGACGAAAAAGACGCGAATTCGCGGTATTATCGCAAATTTTTGAGTTCTTATGGCGAGTACTGTAGTAATCGGCAACACCCCACCCCATTTTTACAGCAAATGATGCTTTCCGAACACGAAATTCGACCCATTATACACAACTTTGACACAGAACCCAAAAACAGGAAAGCTGGCATAAGCAGGGCAGCGCTAGTGGTATTTAGGGTGTGCCGATGCTCACGCCTGCGATTAAAAGTTTCGATCGGTTTCTAATCATTCTAAAACTTAGGACCCATCAAAGATTGAAAGGCACAGTTCACGATAAAAATAGTTGCTGAGATACCCCCTCACAGGGTGAATTTGAGGCCCCGTCGCATACTATACTTAGCACATTAGGTCGGAATACGGCCTACTTAGGAATATGGCCCGAAGATTGGCCCGTGTGTATCCTCGGACGAGCTTCACCGGCATTGTGGAGGCTACACCGATCACGAGGGAACCCATGTAGGAAGTTCAAACAACTTGTCATGACCTATAGCGACAGCAAAAACAGTTTTGTATAATTCTGGCCTGATACATAGTCAGCTCTTTGTGCAGTTGCAATAACTGAAATCTCATTCGAATACCCCTTCCATGTTATTTCTGTCATGGCAATCTCGTCCAATGTTTATTTTCCCTACGTTTGAGAAACCATATTTTTCTCGAAATTGGCGAATTCTCTCGCTTTTTCACTACCGATGAATTATTCCCAATCTATACTGCCGTTTCTCGAATAAAAACGGGTACCTCAAAATTGTCGTGAACTGTGCCTCTAACTGATTGGCAACCAAAGAATTGAGTATACCCACAGATGTTCTCAAGTGATAATAACACCATTATCAGATGTCGTGATCACTGATCCTCGGATACATCATTAGTTGAGAATCCCAAATTATTGGCGGTCGGATGAGCTATGTCGTAAATGATATCAAAACAAAAAGTAACCTTGATCTTTCTTTGTGTTACAAACCTGCTGGGTCACAGTCGTAATCTAATAGTCGTAATCATAAATACATCGTAAATACCACAGACGGTGAATTCAGTTGGTAAGTGCCCTCATCAGGCGCTATCAGCTATTATCAGTCCCTGTTATCGGCCGTCTACGATCCCATCACAGTCCACATTACATGCCGAACTGTCAAGGCTTCATATTGACGCCATTATGTTTTACATTGTTTTCGCCGCACAGGTTTGTTATGGTAGAGACCGCTTTATTTGGTCGACGTTTCGTGATGGTCGACTATCTTGTCGTCTTCAAGGACCTGAAAGCAGTTCGAAGCTCCTGATCTGTAGCTTGCCCGACCAAGCGCCCAAATGCGCTAGCTCAGTTGCAACAGCTCCCAGAAACGTGAATGTCAAAGGATTCCAACCGTGAAACCATCCTTCTGCGGTTCCACCAAAGCTGCCGTCCCACTCGATTCTGCGAACAACAAGGGACCAATGAGACACCATTGACGGTCGTTGGATAAGAGTTGTGCGCTGTTCTCAAAGCCCACAGGAAGGGATGAATGGCAGAAATTCGCCTGTTATGGCACACTCATTTCTATTGATTGATTGAGCGTAGTTCGAAGGAGGTCTGTGACTCTATTCGATCTAGGGCAAAAGCGACGCTATGTGCTAAGTACTACACCCTGAGGAGCGAGCAACACGGAAATGAGGTCATCTCTTCAACGAACGACCACTACGTAGCTAGGTCCACGACCACTCCGCAAATGAACGGTTCGCGAAATCAGGCACGAGTTACTGTTATAGACGGCACATTATTATCGGAAAAAGCTCTGGATTTCCTCAGCCTCAGGCCATCGTTTTCAATCGCCCAAGGGATTGGACTTTCCACGTATCGCCAGGCGGTAACAGGGCTCCTTCGTTTGAGAGATCAGCTTAGAAAGAGTGCAGTGCGCGAAGAACCTCAGCGTACTAGCACAGAATCTATGCTAGCGCCTATTCCATTTCCATGTTCGTTCTGTAAAGAAAGAACGTTCGATCATACAAAGCATGAAATTTCGAGAGCTCTCATCAGAAGCACTTCAAATTTTCAAAAGGCATGGTCGTGAAAGGTTCTCAAACCAGACGAACGAACAATGGGATGGTTTGCAAGAGGTACGAAAACGCGTAGCAGATGGGTGATGATTACTCTCTCCTGATCAAGACTCATAGGTTGTCCAACAGAGGTGAAAAGTCAGCAAATGCTAGTGATTATAAAATTAGACCCATTATCAGCTGTGCAGGAGGACCAACGGACCGTATTTTCTGGTTCCTCAACGAAAATGTTGGCCAACTACTCCGATATGTGCCCTCACATTGTCTAACACCAATGAATTTCCTGATCGCTTGCGATCCTGTAGGCTTCAAGAAAACTGCATAGTAGAGCCATTCGATGTAACTGCGCTTCAGACGAACGTCAACAACAACGAAGCTCTCCAAGCGGTTTCCGAAATGCTGGACGATCATGAAACAGAAAGTGTAACGATTGAGCAAGGTTCATATTATGGCTCTTATTAAGGAATGCCTTAAATGTAATATTTTCAAATGGAACGGGCAGAACTTCTCCCAAAAGCGAGGACCTGCTATGGGTTAGCGTCTAGCACCGGTATTAGCTATCTGCTTCACGAGAAAGATAGAAAGGCCAGTTATAGCGCGCATGCCCATTATGTACTGTCGGTACATCGATGACTGCTGCGTAATTGCATCAGAGCAGCAAGAGATGCATGTATTGTTTGACATTCTCAACCGACAGTCACAATATTTCAGGTTCACGAGAGATTCCACACGAAGTTCCTTATCTGAACACGCAGATGAAGAGCTTAGGTGGAAGGTATCATGTGAACGGGTATCGGAAAAACAGCTCTGAGAACATCTTACTTCACGCGAAGTCTATTTACCCTAAAGCTATGAAACGTGCAGTAGTTCGTAACATGTACAGAACGGCTACAGAAATGTGTACAGGTGAGGTGGAACGAGAGGAGTCACGTAAGCTAGCATGTGAGATTGCAAAGTTGAATGACCACGGGACACAACGCAGATGATTATGCTTAAGAGCTTATTTGCTGAAAAACAGTGATAAAATGATGCATCTCCGGCTTCCATTTATATCGGATAAAGTCAGCGCAGAAATCCGACAATGCATTGCTCGAGCGGATCTGGCCAATGATGTTATCTTGGTAAACCTACCAACGGACAGTACCAAACGCTATCTTACCCGCCATAGACTTTATGATCGTGCACGTTCTATGAATAACTGCGTTATTTGTCTCCTCGGGAAATACTGGGATTGCTCAGCGGGAGACAGTGTACCAACTTCAGTGTTGGCTGTGACGGAATATATATCGGTGAAAGGGGAAGGATGTTAGGCATAAGTGTCAAAGAACACCTAGCAGGTAAAAGGCGTGGAAGCCACTTTACACCACTTGGGAAGCATCGACTAGAAGTAACGGGGGCAATGATTTTGATATTAAATGCAAAATCCTGGCGTACGAGAACGAGATCGGTGCTAGAAAGACCTTGGAAGCGTTGCATATCCGCGAAAGAAATCTCGAGCTGAACAACCGAAGTGAGTGTATCGCCGTAACTCCGCGCAACTCTTATCCAACGACCGGCAATGGTGTTTCATTGGTCCCTTGTTGTTCGCAGTATCGAGTGGGACGGCAGCGTTGGAGGAACCGCAGAAAGTTGGTTTCTCGGTTGGAATCTTTTGGCGTTCAAGTTTCTGGGAGCTGTTGCAACTGGGCTAGCGCGTTTGGGCGCTTGGGTAATCTACAGATCAAGAGCTTCGAACTGCTTTCAGGCCTTTGAAGACGACGAGATAGTCGAAACGTCGACCAAATGAAGCGGTTTCCACCATAACAAACCTGTATGGCAAAAACAGTGTAAAACATTATGCGAACGCCCTGGTTTTAAAAAGACCGAACGTGGAGTTAACGTCATTATCATTAGTGCCTCTACCCTTCCGAGAATTCTCGGTAGCCCCTATCAGTTTTATCAGTTCCTGGCCTGGCACAAACCGTTCTCGATCCCGTCAGCATGAAAGCACCAATGTTCCGTAGTTGGCACGAAGACAGCTCATTATTGGCCGGTATCAGTAGTTATGAGCTCCCCCATCGAGTACCTACAATCCTGTCACATTTACATCACCTATTAAAATCCCAAGATTTCGTTATTAACAGAAATCAGGCATTAAAGATTTAGTGGCTCTCGTCTTCTATAGCATTTTATCAGCTCTTATCACATCTTATCAGTACTTGGCAACATTCTTCCATAATAACTTCCCAACCCACACCACCTATCAAAGTGCCAAGATTTCGCCGTTAACATGAAGGGCGTTGCATACCTAGTTGTTCTCGACTTATGTATATGGCTCGCGATCAGCCCATATCAGTTGGTATCAATCCCTGTCATCAAACATTTGCGGTCCTATCCTGTGTATCTATCTGAGGCTCCTTATCAGTTTCTATATATTGTAGTCACTTCCTATCACATACCATCAGTGCTCCCATCCTGATATCTATTTCTCTTCCAAAATTGAATGCCCTAGGTCCAATGGGACAGGAGTTATGTATGAATTTCCGGTCAGACAAACAAACACACAAACACACCAACAGACACACTTAGCCGATTATATAAGTAGGATCATTTGTGACAAAACTTATCCGACTGCTAATAATCTAAGATTCCTAATTAGAAAAGATTCTATTGATAGTGGCATTTGACAGTGTGCTTTATTATCACTCGATAACATTTGTGAGTACCATTCACGGCTTGGTTTACCTAACATTCAATCTCTGATAGGTAATCATTTCTAAGATGAAGAGCAACACATCGAAGTCTCTAATCAGAGGCATTAGCATCGCACATCGTAAATACCTTTTGCACTGCCCTGCTAGTCCTGTGTTAAACTTTGTACTCAGAAAAGGTCATTTACTCTGAAGAAGAGGTGGCGGGTTAGCCGATTATCACAACGTTCTCATATGAAAGAGGGAAGCTCGGCATTGGCCGGGCGATCCGACTGGTTATAGATAAAAGATACCTGCCGACAGTCACACATCTCGTATATCAGCATCATAGTAAACAGCTAATTTCAGGCCAACCTTGGTGTTCTGCTCGGGGTTTATTTGCCGACAATTCAGCATATTCTTGGCGTCACAATGTTCATTCGGCTCTTCTGGGTTGTCGGAATGGCCGGTTTATACTGGACGATGGTTTTGTTAGCTATATGCTGTCTCTGTGTGAGTTGTTCATTGATTAGTTTCAGGCATCTGGTGCTGTAGCGAGTCTTTTTCATACTATTTATTTTAGGGAGCGTTACTATGGCTTACTTTTTTCTGTCCAAACTAGACAGAAAAAGGGGAGGCCTGTCATTGGGTGTCAGCTGTAGGGCATAGGGATATTTGTTGGACGAACTGCGCACAGAATTACCCAATCGGTTTCTCAACAATGCTGTAGGAAGTCTGGTCTTCATTGCGTGGGAGGGTTTCATCCTCTGCATCTTCACCCAGAAGGGGGACTTTTCTGAAGTTTTTTAACCATGGCGATTAGCCTGAAAGGTCATACCATCTAACTCTACGAACGACTAGCCGATCTAAAACCACCGAATCCTGTCTCAATCTAACGATTGCCACATACTTGGCCAGAGAAGCAATGGAAAAAATATCGGCAAATATGGCCTTGCTTAACCTCCTTCGATATGTAGAGGGGTTTCGAGCAATGAATGATCTGGTGAGTGCTCCCGAGAACGAAAAAAATTAGAACACTCATTCTCCCAGGTCAAGAGCTTCTACAATAGGTCTAGATTACGGATGGGGTTTGACATGAATCATCTTCGAGTCTGTTGCTCCTCTTACTTACAGATGTAATCACAAAAAAAAACTCGCAAAAGAATCACAGAAAGCAGAATGCTAGCAAAGAACGGGCTCAGTGTGATGAAAGCCAAGTAATCAGCTCCAGTGTATCTGCGAAGTCTACCGCGTGTTACTATGACGAAGCAATCGAAAGGGTATAGGGGTTTCAATACCCAGGAAGTAAGCTGACAACTAGCGGGATCATGGACGGAGTACTAAGGCTCGAATAAATGCGGAATGGATGAGATGGAGAGAGTTAAACTATATATTTGCGACTAATAGTGCTTAGGAAGCTCAAAGGAAAAGTTCGCAAAGAAGTGATGAGGCCCACTATGTTCTACGGCAGCAAGGAGCGGCCGCTAGGCAGGAGTGATCTGAAGAAACTTCGCGTCACTGGAATGATAATGCTCAGACGGCGCGCATTTGGGCACGACTAAACCAAGTCAGGGAGTGAGACTACAGTCATTCAAACAACCCTAACCTGCAGAAAATGCTAGAGGAGCGCCTGGATGGAATGAACACATGCCTAGAAGTTCCCAAGATCAACTATAAGAGAACCATTGGAGCTAGAAGCTATGAGGAATTGACTATGTATAGCACTAAAGAAGAGATGGGTCGACCCTATCAGTGAGTTTCTTAAAGGCACCGTTCACAAAAAAGTTAGGGTACCTTTTTTGACGGGAATTGATAGAACTACTTTAGAATAAAGCGATAACAACGAAAAAAGCGCAAAAACGATGAACAAAAAGAATTACAAAGGGTCAAAAAAAGAGCTGGAAAAGAGGGTTGGACGATTTCACATTGAAAGAATGGCGAAGTGGAGAGGAGTTCATTGGGAGTGTTCGGGCGAGTGCAATAGCAGACAACACATTGCGTTTCTGGCAATTTGCCAACCAGCTTATCGACTTTTCACCAACTTCGCTCCAGTGCGAATGTGGTGAAGGACAATTAGAACTCGTAGTCAGCCTAGCGAGGGGCGGAGCCCTCCTGTCCCCCACTGTTACTGCCCTTATTGTGCCCTACCCAGCCGTTTTGCGACCTCATTCCTGCACAAATGGTATCAGAGGGGGCGTCGAATTCAAACCATGTGCAAATCTCCGAAACCGCTTTTTCGTGAACAGTGCCTTTAAGAACCAGCGTAATGGTTTAAATGGATAGAAGAGGATAGAAGACATCGACGTCATTATGCAGAAAAGTGACTCTCCGATCGCGCGAGATTTATGCTAGGAAGAAGATTTCTCATCCCACTAAAAAAGATTACATCGTCAAATGTTTTCATGAACTATTAATTTGAGAACAGCAGTGATTGCAGTATTATTCAATGAGACAAAACCACTTCATGTCTTACCATTTGTGAACTGTGTTCATAGAAACCGCTGCACCAGTCAATAACTCGTGAATGTAGCAACAAATCTATCGGGGAAGAAGAATTAGTCCTTATTCCTCAGAGAAGAGTAAAAACCAAAAAAAGCAAATCTTCTGCCAGACCTAAACCTACCGCTCCGATCGCATATCACCAATATAAAAAACATTTTGCTAACGAGACTGAGAGGAAAAGAATATGTATATCTAGACCCTGCTCACCTCTATTTCCCTCTCCGCGGTGGCCACAAATGGAGTTGTTGAGAGCGGTGGAGCGTACTTCATTATCAGGTCAGTTTTCATAGAAATCTTTGGGAAAATATTTTATTCAAATAAAAACAAGCTATTCACTATGGAAGCATCGTTTCATCTAACACTTCTGTAAGGCGCTTTTCGCAATTATGAGGTGGCGGACCGGAATCTTTGGTGGGCTTTCAATCAACCTTTCGGCTCTCACAAAACTTCTACCTCAATAGAGTTTTCAGCACTTCTGCCAACGAAAATGATTACCCTCTTGTGCCTGTGCTCCCTTGATTTTGGTACCCTCTAACGTCATGAAAGTAATAAGCTCCGTTTGCATTTATACATTTATCCTTCTACAATCAATTGCAGCCGCAATTTGGGAGCAGAATTTGGGTCGGCTGTCGGTATACTATTCTACTTGGCCAATACTGTCGCTGCGTCGATGTACATCGTAGGAGGAGTTGAAGTGCTCCTGGTAAGATACATAGCTTGGGCTTCAAAATGTTTCAAGGCAACTCTGTATGGAAGTCGATACATATCCAATAGCGAGGTGGATCTACATCAAAATAGTTATAATTCACATACACGATTTCGTAATTAGAGCATTTAGAGCAGATGTCATGTAGTGGCAAGTGGCGCATTACCACACAAGCGAGGCACGGGGATACAATCAACATCCCAGCCAGCAAGCCTCCATTCCTCCAAGTTGATTAGGGTTGATTAGCGTAAAGACTATACTTGGTTTCTACATTTGGCGTGTACAGTATCTCGAATAACTTGCACAGTTTGCACAGACTGATCTCTATTTTCTGTACTACCATGTATTTAAGTTTTTTTCAAATCACCAATATTTAAGACACTGATGATTTAAAAAAACTGAATGGAGTTGGCATAACTCCACGGTGCGTTTCGTAAGTATAAGATCACCCTAGAATTTGGTGTTTATAACCTCTATGCACGACATTTTTTGAATCAACCTCTACCATATCAATTTTGTGAATAATTTTTACCCTAAAATTCCATAGATAAGAGCAGTTGAAACTACCGGTAAAAAATGAATTGGAATGAAATTGAAATTGAATGCAGTCTCCCTCTAACTTGATGGATGGATAAATTAAACTTCGAAGAAGAAGTCAAGGAGAAGCTCCGCCCCTCAACTTCAAACCCCGCCCACTTAATAAACAATTTATATAAAAAAACAGCGATCCGTTAAAATCGCTACTTTTCTATGTGAATTGTTTATTAAGTGGGCGGGGTTTGGAGTTAAGGGGCGGAGCTTCTTCTTAACTTCTTCTTCGAAGTTAAATTTATCCATCCATCAAGTTAGAGGGTGACTGCATTCAATTTCAAATTCATTCCAATTCATTTTTCACCGGTAGTTTCAACCGCTCTTATCTATGGAATTTTAGGGTATATGTTGTATAAGTATATGATCACTCTAAGAATTTGAAGAAAAATTATCATTAGTAACGACAAAATAAAACAATGGGTCTTCCTCGTTCTAGCCAAAATATACATATGTCGAACGGCCTAAATGGCATGCTCGAAACAAGTTTTCGAAAGACCTCGCCGAAGATTCCATTCCAAGATTCAAGAACTGCCTTCTTGAGCAACGGTTGGTTGACGGAGCGTAGCGTAAATGTTTTTCACAATAATGCCCCACAAATTCTCCATCGGCTTCAGATCGGGGCTGCAAGCTGACCATGTCAGAACTTCGAAATTTTGGGAAAGGAGACAGTCTTTCGTGGACGCAGCACTTTCCTGTTGAGAAACGTAGTTAGAACCACGTTGCCGGCTCAGAAATGGCACCAGCTGCTATTGTAAGACTTCCTGAAAGTCCTTGGAGTCCATATTGGGAGTCGCAAATTAAGCTCCAGCCAGACATCTTTGCAGAAGGCACCCCGTGGCATGACACCTCCTCCTCCAAAACTGCGACGACTAGAGTTGACTGGCTCTCTTCGTGTCATGCCAGTAGCTGTAACCATCGGGCTTTTCAAATTAATTTTCTTCCCATCGAAAAATGCGGCCTGAACGAGTATATTGGACTGTATGGCTAATTGGTAATAGATGCTGACTTTCGCCTGGTCTCATTCCAAATTCAACTTCGCAAAGCCAAGACGTGTCTTTCCCTTTATTGCTCGGTCGGTCGGTAAGCCTCAGAGCCCCCTTTATTGCTGCCCTGATAATGCTGCTGCTCTCTTTCACGGCTCTCTATTCAGTGGTTTTGGGCACCGATAGACTCAACTCCGATGGAACTTGTTTCAACGACAAGGTTTTGTCCGAAGTGTTATTAAATTAGCGTTCTCCTCTCGCCCTTCGCGGTGGTTAGCTTGCGCTGGTTCCTGTCCTCCAGGGGCTCTGTAGTCTTCAAGTATCTTTGCACGGAGCCGAGGGATCTCACGATTCTCCTCCTAATTGCCCTCGTACTGAACCCTGTATCACGAAAATTTCGATTTTGTGCTTTTCTTCTAAAGAAGGATGGCCTCCGCGAGGCAGAGTACATATTGCTTTCAACCATATTTGCGACACTTTCTCTCCTATGCGGACCCCTCCAAGTGCAAATTCTGCTGCCCCATATTTCGAAACCTTCGCACTGTCGGGGATGATCCTAAACTTATGAAACGGCGAAAAAATCGGAAATAATATAAATCGGAAATGTTAATATAAAAATTGAGCAAACCAAAGCAGGTACATGGGGGTTATTGAAGGTGATGGTTATAATGGTCTTGCCAGGAAGACATGTGCTTGGCTGCTTGTCCTGTGAATACCAAATTTGAGGGTGATCTTATACTTATGAAACGCGCTGTATATCTAGAGTTAGTTTCCTTGGTTCATGTGTACATATGTAGGAGGCGGCGCTCATCATTACCCTCTACCTTTACCTCCACATAAAGATACTAACAAAAAATGGGATTAGGGAAAAGTTTCTTCGATTTTCCAAGTGAACCTTTCAGATGTACATCGTTCCTGATATGGCAATAGGTGGTCGCGAGGCCCTCCACGACACTGACCGTAAGAATATTTTTCCATTGAAAATCATTTCGAAAAGAATACTGATAAGGGAAGGATATTTGGTCTCAGTGGCCATTCAAGATGAGATGTACACCCTCGTAGATGGTTTCAAACGCTGACCTCAAATCTGTGTTCCATATCTGCGAAACTATTCTGGGAACAGAGTTTCGGGACCCATGCCTCTCCGTGTTATACCACCGTACTGAACGGATCACCGAGCCGAGCAAAGTCCTTGACTGTGCAACGGTGCCCAGCGGATAGTGTGGTGGACTGATAGACATGACATCAAGGTTCGATTCCTTGATGCATGCGCTCGTTTTGCTTTGCCATAAAATGCATCCCAAACACTTGCAAAACGTTTTGGACTTAATATTGGACATCGAGGGAGCTATCTAACATTTTAGGAACACCGGAAAGGTATTACCGGGAAAGTTTTTTTTTGCCTCCCACCGGCTCAACAAGGTTGGAGCTCTACTCGAACAAAAGAGGAATTCTGAACAATCGCTCAAAATGGGCTTCAGGGGCTTCAGAGGCCTAAAGGCATCGTTCACAAAAAAGTTAGGGTACCCTTTTTTGACAGGAATTGATAGAACTACTCTAGAATAAAGCCATAACAACGAAAAAAGCGCAAAAAACGATGAACAAAAAGAATTACAAAAGGTAAAAAACAGCTGGAAAGGGGGTTGGACGAGTTTCACATTGAAAGAACGG